TGCTTATGCTGCTGCTGCTGCTGCTGCTGCTGCTGCAGCTGCTGCTGCTGAGCCACACTTATGTGCTCGCAGCTATTCTGACGCTTGTGGTGCAGCCGCTGCTGCTGCTGCTGCTGCTGCTGCTGGAGCGATCGGGGAGTGCCGTCAATGGCGCAAGGGGAAAAAAGACTCTCGGAATCAATTCCTAATTTCTGGCGCTGCAGCAGCAGCGGGGACCGCTCTACGGCGGCGCGGTGCAGCAGGTGCTGCTGCAGCTGCTGCAGCTGCTGCAGCTGCGGATGGTGCGTCACGCTCCGCCGGAACTGCTGCTGCTGCTGCTGCTGCAGCAGCTGGAGCTGCTGACAAATCCGGAGGGTCCGGAGGCTCGTGTTCTTCCCGTCCGCGTCCAGCTCTGGGGCTGCTGCTGCATGCAGAAGCAGCTGCTGCTGCTGCTGCTGGCTCGGAGGAGACGATCCCACAGACTCTGCTAGGGGAGTAAAGGCCCCCTCGAGGTCTTCCGCTGCAGGGTGCTGCTGCGTGCTGCTGTAGTGAGTTGTTGCTGTTGGGGGGGACAGAGTTTCTGCTGCTGCTGCACCTGCTGCTGCTGCTGCTGCGGGGTCACCGACTGCTGCTGCAGCAGCGCCCGTGCAGAAAAGGCCGTACCTGGCGTTTGCTGCTTCCAAGCCACTTAGGCGGTTGAGGCAGTAGCGCTGCTGCTGCTGCTGCTGCTGCAGCTGAAGGACAGGCCCGCTCTGCAGCGGCTGCGGAAGCAAAATGCTGACCTGCTGCTGCTGCTGCTGCTCCTGGAGTTGCTGGAGCTGCAGCTGCTGCCAGTGCTGCTGGTGGTGCTGAAGCTGCTGCTGCTGCTGCTGCTGCTCCTGCTGGCGCAGCTGGGCAGCCTGGCGGTCCTCGGGGCCTGTGTGAGCTGCTTCGTATGCTTCCTGCTGCTGCTGCTGCTGCTGCTGACTCTTGAGCAGCTGCTGATGCATCGTGACAGCCACAGTGTTGCTATAAGGGGCTATTATTCGGTTTGGGGGGGGGAGCAGCAAACAGCAGTTTTGCTGCTGCCATGAGCTTCAGCCTGGTGGCTTAGGCTGGGGAGGCGGCTGGGAGTTGGGGTGTACGTACACCTGCGGCCCGGGGTGCTGCGCTGCTGCTGCGGCGGAGCCACGGCGGCCTGCAGGCGCGAGGGCCGAAAGCCTCCGGCGGACTGCGGCGCAGGGCTTAGGGTTTAGGGTTTAGGGTTTAGGGTTTGGGGTTTGGGGAGGGTCTGCGGCCCCGGCCAGAGATGCACACCTGCGCGCGCCCGGAGCTGCTCACTGACACGGGAGGAGAGGGCGCAGAAAACTGCATGCAGGAGCAGACTGGACGGGCTAGACGGGGCGATAGTAGCCAAAAAGAAGGAAAAAGTCAAATGAAAAAGACAAATGACAAAACTAAATCGAACAAGCCGCGGAAACCCGCAGTTGGCGCTGCGCCGTTTCAGGTGTACAGACAGCTCGGGGTGGCAGCACGCAGCGCCCTCTGCAGCCAGGGGTTGTTGCTCGCCGCGGCCGCTGGACCAAAATAGCTCTATTTCTTTATTTTTTCGCGACAAATTCGCATTTTAATTGCGAAATAATTCCTTTACAGACCCTATTTCATCCCAAAACTCCCCGAAAACGCCCTCCTCCATGCCAGCACCCCAGGTCACCCCTGTGGACCAGTGGTGTGCCTGCAGTGTCCGTGCACGCCGGCCCGGCGCAGCTCCTCCGACGCAAAAAGACACAGAAAACTCCTTTAATTCTGCACTTTTTGACTTTTTAAACAAAAAATAACAAAAACTAAACCCAAAATTCACCAAAATTGCTGCTGCATGCCCCGTTTTGACCCCCCAAACCACCCCCTCCCGCTCCGCGCCTTGCATGCACACCCACCAGCTCTTCTACACCCCAGCCAGATATCCCCCAAATAATAACTGCTGCTGCCTGCTGCTGCTGCAGCTGCTGCCCACGGGCTGCCAGGTGGCGCAGCAGCTGCTGCAGCGCTGCAGCGCGGGCAGCGGGCCCTGAGGGTTTAGGGTTTGGGGAAAACCCTGCACCCTGCACCCTAAACCCTAAACCCCGCCCTGGCCCTGTCTGCACTTCTCAAAAGCTGCGAAAAAGCAACTAACCTCTTCCTCTGGCAGCCAGCCACTTTCTCTGTTTATCAAAAAGTTCACAGTAATTAAAATTCAAAGTAACCAAAAATAAAAAGGCAAACAAAGTCTGGAAAAGGCAACAGACAAAAGAATAGAAAAGGAATAAAATTACGGAGTCCGAGAGCTGGTCGCGTTGCCACAGCAGCAGCAGCACCAGCAGCAGCAGCTGCTGCTGCTGCTGCAGCTGCTCTTGCCTAGCCAGCGAGGTGCAAGCAGTCGCATCAAATACACACTGCAGCAAAAGGCTGCAGCCAGAGGAGACAGTGCCGTGAGCAGCAACTGGAAAGCTGGTTGCGCTATCTCCTAGCTCCTAAACCCTTAACCCTAAACCCTAAACCCTAAACCCTGAGGAAGCTGCACACTGCGGCTGCTAAGCTTCTGCAGTGAGCCCTAAACCCTGAACTTCAGGCGCCAAACTCCACGACTTTAATCCTAGGCCGCCAACCCCAAACCTTAAACCCTAAACCCTAAACCCTAAACCCTAGGCCCCAAGCCGTGAGCGCTAATCCCTAGGTCGCTAACCCCAGACCCTAAGCCGGAGGCCTCAAACCCTAAACCCTAGGCCTCAAACCCTAGCGCGCAAACCCTAGAAAAGTGGAAACTCTTAAAGCTGCAAAAGTGGAGACAGCTTTTTGTTTGATAATTGCATTTGTTGTCCCCTCCATTGTGTCCATGCTGCTGGTAATCTGGATGCTCTAGAATGCTCTATTTCTAAAAGGCCTGCGCAGCTAGCCAGCTAGCTAGCTAGCTGGCTAGCTGGCTAGCTAGCTAGCTAGCCAGCCAGCCAGCCAGCTAGCC